TAAGAGAGTGACTGACTGGGTTGCTGAGCTAAGCACTCCCACAGTCCTAAGCACTGGCCTAAGTGCCCTGACTAAGCAAAGATAGGGGTCATTTCCGAGGAAAAGAAAAGAAAGAAGGAAGAAAATAGGAAAAATCATAACATTACCCCCTCCTTAAGACCATCATCCCAATGGTTCAGTTAGGATAAGTCATCCTGTCTAGCAGGAGATGGCTGATCTGCTGGACCCTTCATCATGGTGAGACATTGCTCTTCATTGTATGTCCCCACTATTTGTGGCTTGTCGATGTGGCTGTCATCTTCATCATCTTCTTTAACATTCCCTTCATTGCTGGCCGATCAGTTGAACATAACCCCCTTCATGGTCAATTTATTGATCCTGTGTTTGTAGTCCTGGATGGCCTCCTCCACATTCATGTATTTTTCATTGACCCATTGGTTTGATTCGGGTCCATATCCTTTCCAGCTGACTAGGTAGTCAACAGTTGTTTTCATGCCTCTGCCTCATGCTTTAACCCTTCGGGTTTTATGGTTTAGGACTTTATTGATTTCATAGTGTTCTTCGTTGTTGATGAGCTCTGCTGGTGGTGGAGGTGGTCGTTCTTGGTTAGGAAAGGCTGGTGCAATGTATGGTGTTAACAATGTTTTGTTAAAAACATTATGGATTTTCCAAGTTGCTGAGAGCTGCAACTTGTATGCGGATTTGCCGATTTTGGTGAGGATTTTGAATGGGCCTGTTTGTTTGTCTGCCAGTTTCTGTTTTGGCCTTGGTAGGTGAAGGTTTGTAGTATCCAACCAGACCTTGTCATTGGTTGAATATTCGTGCACTGTACATTTGTGCTTGTTGTATTGCTTTTTCATTGCAACAGTGGCTTTGTCAAGGGCTGTCTTTGTTTCTTTGTGGATCTTTGTCATCATTGTGGCAAAGTCTGTTGAAGCAGGTGTTGTTGTATGAAGTCGTCCTGTTTGTGCAACTGGTGGGTTCCATCCATAATTCACAAAGAATGGTGTTTTGCCTGTTGCTGAGTGAATTCTGTTGTTGTGTTGGAATGCTGCTAATGCCAGCCATTCTGTCCAGTCGTCCTGTCTGTAGCTGATGAAAAGTTGTAAATACTTTTCAATTTCCTGATTGACCCATTCCGTTTGGCCATCTGTCTGTGGGTGGTATGCTGTGGATGCATTCCTTTTGATGTTGAGCAGTCGGTACAAATCATCCAAGAATTTGGACATGAATTGTGGTCTCCTGTCAGAAATTACTACTTGAGGCATGCCATACTTTGCATAAACCTCGTCCCATAGTATTTTTGCCCATCCTTTGGATGTCAATTCTGTTGAGCAGGTGATCGGAATGATTGCTTTTGAGAAGTGATCGACTATGACAATGATTGTGTCATAGCCGTCATTCTCAGGAAGTCCAGTTATCATATCCATGGAAATGTGGGTCCATGGTGATGAAGGCACCTCATTTGGATGAAGTGGTGCTGCTTTTGCCTGTGTTGAGGCCTTGCCCCTTTGACATGTCTCGCAAGCTTTGACATATCAGATGATATCATGATCCATTTTTGGCCACCAGTACTCTCTTAGTACCAATTCCTTGGTTTTTGCAATCCCAGAATGTCCAGCAGTTGCATGATCATGGCACATGGCAATGATATCACCACAAAGCTTTTGAGCCCTTGGGATGTAGATCCATCCATCATATTGCATCATTCCCCCTTCTTTTTTCAGTCCCCGCTCATGATTGAGTGATGGAGCAATTCTTTGATCCCATTTGTGTGGATCCCAGGTGGCGCTTTTAATGCATTCATGCATTTCTTCTTCCATGGGCATTATCATGGCTTGGAAGTGTTCTGGTCATAATAATACAACCTCTTTGTTGTCATCTCCTCCTTGGTTATGATCTGCCCTGTGGCTGAGGAAATCGGCCTTCTTGTTTGCCACGCCTGCCTTGTGGTGTAGTGTGTAGTTGTACTCAGATAGTTCTGTGACCCATCAGGCTTGTCTGCGGTTAAGCTTTTGAGGTTGTTGGAAGTATCAGAGGTTTTGGTGATTGGTCCAGATCTCAAAGATCTGGACTGCTCCAATGAGATAATGCCATCATTCGGCGAGGGTGAGCATTATGGCGAGGAGCTCTTTATCATAGATTTCGTAGTTGCACTCGGTTATTGTGAGTGTCTTTGACATGAAGGCGACTGGTCACCATTTGCCATCCTGTTCCTGTGATAGTATGGCTCCAATTGTGCCTTCACTGGAGTTGGCTTCCACCTGGAACTTCCCATCCTGACTTGGTATTGCCAGGATGATGTCTTTGGCTAGTTGGTGTTTGAGATCATCAAATGCATCCCATTGGGAATTTCCGGTTAATTGTGTCATCGGTTGGACTACCTTGCTGTAGTCCCTGATGAACTGGCGGTAGAAGTTCGTGAATCCTAAAAATGATTGTAGTTCCTTCTTCTTTGTCGGTTCTGGCCATTCTGTTACCCCTGCTATTTTGATGGGGTCCATCCGAATGCTTCCTTCACTGATAATGACTCCAAGGTATTCTGTTTTCCATACCTCAAATTCACATTTCTCGGCTTTGAGGAAGAGTTGGTGCTTCCTCATTCTTGATAGTATCTGTCATATGATTGTTCGATGTTCTTCCTTGGTTTTGATCATGATAAGAATATCATTGAGATAGAT